GTTAGATTAAAGGATTATCAAGTTGCTCAGCAGTTCGCGTCTCATCCAAACTCCCCTTTGGTTTTATGGACATTTGAGCAGACACTAGCAGTGTGCTGCAGTCACCTGTAGGGCTCTGTTAGTGGAAAGCATGACACTGATGAGGAGATGACTGCATGGTGTCTTTGTTGCTTTGACCTCATCATTAGTTTATCTGCCAAGAGTTAATATTACTGAGCATTGTCTGAAAAAGACAGTTACAATTTTGGTGGGCTGGAAAGAACAACAAGTAGTAATTAAAGCATCATAATAAATGTGTCATTGAAATTGAAATAAAGAAAGAAATAAAATACCAGCTAATGAAAGCTTTGGTCCTAGTGGTGAATTTCCGTGTGAGTGCTAAGCTTACTGTTTTCCTTTGTTATGCGACTGGTGCTTAATTTTGCTGTGTGCAAGTGTAAAAGTCTAAAACCAAAACAGGAGAGGAATTATCACGGCTAAAATTCACTGATGAGAAGCACCTCAACTTCTTTACTGTGACAGAAAATAAAAGAAGGAAATTTCACACTAATTAGGTCCTGAAGGGCTTTCATGTGTTCTCTCTTTCAGCCACATATCATTCCTTGGCAGCTTCCTCATGTTTGCTTGACCTGATGATCTCACAGCTATGATGAAGACAACAAGCAAATAAGCCTTCTGTGACAGACAGAAAGTTGGCAGCAGTTTCACATCTGTTTTTCTGTGCAGTCACCACCACATCCAGACCACCATGGAGCAAATTTGCCATTTTCCCTTCAAACTCGTTTTTACAAAATCTAAGAAACTGAGTTCTGAGTGGAAATTATACCTTTGGAGAGAACACTGCTGTTCCACCAAACTGTGTTCACACAGTGAGTTCTGGAAGTGTTCCTGTGCCCATGCAGTGATTTCCTTCACAGAATCATATCTATTTTAATGTAGTGCAGCTCAAAGATCACGAGCATCTATACTAATTGATGCTTGTCCTTGTTCTTTGTGCACAGTAATTTCATTTGATAATATTATAAAGCATTGCTAATATGATATTCAAAGTCTTTTTAATGTTGCATTGATGAACATTATTCTGAAATTGTCCGGTGATTTTGTAGACACAGTTATCTGTTCTCCTAATGACCCAAATACTTGATGTTCCTTCAGTTATATCTTTTTGGTAGTACTTACCTTTCCAGCCTTTTGTTGCCCCGTCCCACATGTTTTGATATGTGTTGCTGCCATCAAATTCAAAAGTAGCTAATATGTTTCATGAAACAGTAAAATATTTCAGTTTCTATATTCAGTTTCACTTTTTTCTATGTTCTATTGTGAAGACAACAGGACTTTATAAGATTTGCAAATCATTACATTCTCTTTTTATATATGTTACATGGAGTATATTTTTTTCTACCAAAAAATCTCTTTATCTAAAACAAATATGCAAAACATCTCAATACACCTTTGCATGTCTCTGAATACACACTATCTAGATTAGTATTTACTAGTAAACATTGCTACACAAAGGCTGATTATTTATATAACAGAACTAAAACTCAAAAAAGGAAAGTAAAATATTATTTTGCATTGTCAGGTTTGACAGTACAAAGTGACATTGATGTCATTGAAATAGATGCCAGATGTTTCTGTGAAAACAGCTGTGTGAAAATAACTGCAATAATGTTCAGTTTTCTTTCAAACGTACCAATTAAACACAAATACAAAATCAACTGCAGCTGAAATATTATTTATCTGTTTTAAAGACATTTCACTGGATCTGAATGGAGTTGACATTTAGTTCTACAGAAGTCAAATCCTGACTCTTTAGCAGGTGACCGGGCAGTTGCGTCTAACTTGATGCACCAACACCTCCAGGCTGGCAGGCTATTAGAAGGCAGTAGCGGTGGTGTGGTATTTATGTGTTGGGGGGAGGGGGGGGTTGGTCTGGCATAGGATGAGGTGTGTGCATATGGGCACATGAAGCAGCTATGGCTGCAGAGACATTCAGCCATAACACATGACAACCTGTCAACATGTCATGACTCAACCTCCAGGCACGATGGCTGGACTGGCAGATTAGGTCTCTGCCTCGTGTCTGTGGACGGAACTACATAAAGATATAATTATTTTTGGATTTTTAAAAAAATTCTACTCTTTTTTTCAGATATTTATTCACCTGCACAAACATTTTTCTATGTGTAAAGTCTGTTATGATACTAAATAAAGTGCATGAGCCTACCATTTCTAGTTCCAAAAATTCTAGCTGGTCATATTTCCCCCTGTTCTTTCCCTCTCTTTCTGTTAGAGTGACTGCTATCCATCTGTCCATAGTGATCAAAAAAGGCCTCAGTCCTCCGTCACTATTTGTCACAGATAGATGAAAAGATTGATAGATGGATGGATACATACAGGAGGGTTAGTTGGAGAAATGATGCAGGTTGGAGGTGGGGGCACTGACAGACAGCCCTCCCTGACCTTTGCCCTCAATGCTGGAGTGGCCCTCGTCTATCTTTGTTTGGCTTCAGCTGCCGACAGTTGACTGTGATGTTGACAGATATGATGGCTGATCACATCACAGCAGATTAGACAAGAGGTAAATAGTGCAACTTAGATAACAGGCTAGTGGAATAACATGCAGGGAACTCATCAGTCATAGCCAAACAACCTTCAACAGAGGATACAGTTTGATCCGACTGAAAAGCACAGCCACAAGTTTTATATCCCACTCTGTGAAAATTGTTTATTTGCTGGTGTCAACATCACACACACAGATTTCACACTCCAAACCATCACTTCCATTAGTATATGGAAAATGTAATTTGTTGATTCTGAATGAACTAATCAAGTTGTGCTTTAAGTACTAACTGTAATTCAAGACTTTTAAAGAAAAAAGTACATTAACTACTGAGGACTTAAAGCTTCTTTCAGACGCTACTTCTATAAGGGGTGATCGTGGCTCAAGAGTTGGCAGTTCGTCATGTAATCAGATGGTTGCCGGTTCGAGCCCCGGCTCCGACAGTCTCAGTCGTTGTGTCCTTGGGAAAGACACTTCACCCGTTGCCTACTGGTGGTGGTCAGAGGGCCCGGTGGCGCCAGTGTCCGGCAGCCTCGCCTCTGTCAGTGCGCCCCAGGGTGGCTGTGGCTACACTGTAGCTGCCATCACCAGTGTGTGAATGTGTGGATGTAGTGTAAAGCGCTTTGGGGTCTTAGGGACTAAGTAAAGCGCTTTACAAATACAGACCGTTTACACATCAACATCATTTTAAATAGTTTTTAATATTTGGCTGAGTTGTTCTTTACTCCTTTAAGTTCCTGCTTGATTTTTGCCATTCACTGAGGAAATATCCTATTGACCGCTGGTTAGCACTATATGGATTTGCATGCAACACAGTTCTATTATAATCAATAAAGAGCCCTGATTTTCAGTGAGCATTCCCTCAGAAGAGACAAACGGACCCAAACTTTGCAACTTTGTGTAGGGATCAAGTATTCAGGATTTGCCTTTAATTTGTCACAGCAGAATTGGGATGATTATGTAATGTAAAGTTTGTTCCATAGGCTGACGTCTCAGCACAAGCACACCTGGCTCAGATCATCTAGAAAAACACATCACTCATACTGAATAGTTCCTGGAACTGTTGTAATGACATTTTAGATAATGGGTTAATTTGATAAAATGCTAATTATATCAGGTAGTAGTGAGTTATGTCAGTAGTGATGGACAAGATATATGCTATTATGGGGAGACACCAAATGTTTCCTTTTGAGGAACAATCAGTAAAAAGAGGGGTAGAAAAAGTTTAAAAGGAAACCTCTGATAGGGCAGGAATCGGACCCAACCAACCTGACAAAACTGACAAAACTGTAGTAAAGGGCTGTTTCGTCGATCCCCATTTACTGTGCTGTCCAGACTTCCAGCTTTAAAAAAACAAGCGTACAGTCTGGTGTAAAACAGCTGACAGCAGAGTTTCTCATAAGCACAAAAATGCGGGATTTAACCAGTGTTTAAATAAATGTGTCTACAAGTTGCAAAAGAATTGTTCCTTAGAGTAAAACTGACGGCAATCTTCCAACAGACAAACATGCAGAAAGTCTCAGGCTGGATTCAAATTTAAAGTTTACCTTTGATAAGCCTTTTTTTGTCTGTGCTGATGATCTTTCTTTTCAATGGCAGAAACATTTAGCCACACCTACACTGGCTCTAGGGTCAGTCAGTTATCAACAGCTAACAAAGCTGGATGTGAAGCTGTGATACTCCTTTAGTGATATGATGGGAATAGGTTACTGTATACCTCTCATTTGATTCTTCAGTACGTTATCTGCTGAGTGATGAGTTGAACACCTCAGTTATCGAAACCTTTGGTTAGAAAAATGTTTTGTGGAAATCTTACCATACAGCCAAAGTCTTTTTTTTTATCATGAACTCTGTGGTTTTCAGTTTCTTTTAGCAGTTTGGGAAAGGATCTCAGCGATAAAGGGTAAAAAGGCTACAAGATACTGGTAAGTGCCAAACACCCTGGTCTGTGCAGGTTTTAGGGTCTGTGCAGGAAGGGTAAGTCACAGTGTGAATAAGGCAAGAAGGTTATACAAAGCACAAAAAAAAGAAAAAAAATGGAAGAGTGAGCATGAAAACAACATGCAAAATCAAACTAAAATCAGCCGCTGCAACCAAATCAAACCCAAAGTTACATATTACATATCCACATATATGTGGTCTGCCCCTGTTCCAGTTTTAATTATTAGTTAACCCTCTCGAGGCAGGCGTTGCCGATTTGCAACAGTTGAAAACTAACAACCTGATTACCCCACATACATATTTGATGAGTTTGTTTTACTCAGAAGTACCACTGCAGGACTTGGTTGTGCATTAGCAACAAAAAGTTTAATTTGAGCCTGAGAGGGTTAACTGTTCAGTTCAGAGTTCAGTTATTCAGAGTTTCAGTGATTTCTGCATTGGCAAAGGAGGACTGGAGCATTTGGGGCAAATAAAGGAGACAGGAGTTGATATTTACCTGTTTCCATGGACATGGGATGCACAGAAGGCGAAGCTGTAGTGCAGCAGTGTGGGATCAATCATGGCTCCATTCTCTGCCCTCTCCAGCAGATCGCTCAGGTAACATAGATGGCGATGGCAGCCTCGAACACCATAACGAGCACAGTACTCATCCAAGACAAACACCTGACCAGGACTAAACCAGCCCTGTTGGTAACACACAGAAACACTGTTATCGGATTCCTCTGATGAAGTAAGTGATGTTTATATGCTATAACACTCTGTAATAGCACTTAACAATAGTATCTTGCGAGCATATTAAACCACATCTTTACTGATAGCTAGACTTTGTTATTATTAAGACACTACGGTTGCTAAGATACAGAATGCATTCCTGTGTTCACTCCATAAGACCTGTTGCCACTGATTTTCAGTACTTTTCATGTGAAATTTGGCACACCTCAATCTTTTCTCTTTGTTTCCCTCTCAACAGCCACCATTGTTGCCAGTTTTTCTATCAATTATAGGTTTTAGACTCTTTTTGGATTTTGATTTACTTACCAAGCAGGAATATGAGTCATTAAGCCTGTGGTCCAGAGTGAGGCGCTGGACAAGCTCAAACAGCGAGGCGTGGTCAAAGTTACAGGGGTTAGCTGAAATAAACTCGTCCATGCCATGCTTCTGGGCTCGATCAGCATCTGTTTATGCCAGATTATGCATTCGACGATGCGGCACACAGAGAGAGAAAGACATAAAAAAGGCAAATGTCATGTGTCGTATTCATGTTATGCAGTCATTCATAATTTGCATGATTGGCAAAATTTGTGCATTAACTCTCTTTACATGAGCTTAAACACCATATTGGCTGTGATTATACTTACTACAACAAGAGAAAGTAATAATAATCATTTTCTCAGTGAATGCCTTTTCTACATTTGTCAGAAACACAAAAAGGGCATCATTCTGATGCCTCTTCACAGCATTGGCAGTGGCCCCCAGCTCTCTAGTGTGGCCCCATTTAACTGTCACACTAAATACCTGAGAATGAGCAAAGAATGAGGACTCACAATAATCTATTTTACTCATCAAAGTAGAGGGGTTAATTAATGATTCTTTGAAATCAAAGTGGTATATTGAAAGTAGAACAAATTTTAGATAAAAATGTCGTTATAATTGACAGTATGGACATGATGTCACTGACGTCTTTGAAGAAGATTTTTCCACCAGTGTCATTTTGGATGCAGAAAAACAGATGAAACCACACGCTCACTGGCTGATGACTGGCGATTGACAAGTCGTTAACCACTGAGCATGCAGTTTCATGTCATGATTAATGCACCATTTTGAAACCTTAATTTTTCAAATCAATGATTATAACACAACTTTGCAAAATAAAATTTGACCAATTTTGTCATTAATTTAAAAGAAAAATTGGAATGCTACACTAAACATGTGGCTGTTGCTGTGTAATAAATATGATATATCCTCCTGAGAACCAAGGAAAAATGAATATTCCCATTGAACCTTTTTGTGATTTCCCTTCTCTTTGTAGCTAAAAGAAGCCAACCAAACACATGAGACATCAATGGAGAGCCCAGAATGTCCTCTATTTAGTACATCAGGACTTCAAATGAGTCAAATTATTTATAGACCAAAACCAAATGTGCATTACAGAGGGCATAAATGAATAGGCTGGTTCTCAGGAGGCTTACACAAAAGCCACAGTAGAGTATGCCCAACAAAGAAATACCTGCTAAGAAAAAAAAACACATTTTAGTAAAGTAAAATCCATTAGTTAAAAAAAAGAACGCACATCCCTTATTTAAAGAAATTTGAGTTATTTCAAAGCAATTTTATAGCTTCTTTATATAAAAAGAATATTGAGCTTTGTATATACTGAAGGAAGGGAAAAAATGTCCTTGCAATGACTTCGCATATTTTTAGTGAAATTTCATATACACACAACTGTATTTAAGGCATGCTCCCTAGCAATAAAAATCATTAGCACACAGAATACTTAGAGTCATTATTGACAGACACATAACTCTAATGTAGCTTCCAAACATGTTTGTAGACACAAAGGATATTTCATGTTCTGTTACAGGAAAGCAATCCTAAGAGATGAAGTTGTTATCCTCAATATAATAACTGGGACAAGTATTGTTTAGCCCAACATCTCAAATAAACAGCACATGTTTTGCTTGCTAAAAATGGGCTACAACCAGTGCAATCAGTTCTTTCCCACACATAATAGCATAATATTCTCATAGATGTAATTAAATTTGATGTGTTTGAATAAATCCACTAAAATGGATATGAATAGAAGTTATAGTGAGCTACCCAACAATCGAGAGATTTGTCAGGCAACATCCTCCTTACTGCCAATTGAAAGCACCTCAGCTGTCAGTCAACAAACAAAACAAAGAGTGGGATGCTGGGAGCTGATTGTGTTCCCTCAACAAGTCCCCACCCCCACAACCTCCCCCAAATATCTAAAAAGGTGACATTGAGGTGCCCCTTTGGTCCATAGCTGGTGGCCTGTCAGGTCTGTTTGATGTGAGTGAGCAAGAGTGGAGGCGGGAGGGCTGGACAGTAACATGCAGTGACATTAGTCACTCCCATCCGTCTGGGCTGGAGAAAGACGTCCCTGACAATGACTGATGGCTGCTATTCATTTTTAGATTCAAAGGAGAGAAACCGGGAGGCAGTGGATCCAGTGCTGGTGCTAGCCATGGTGGTCAAAATCATTTGGCACTATTTAGCACATGGCTTGCTTTGGTTGTGGACTGACCGTGAAATGTGTTTAGGTCCTCTGGTATACTGCACTGACTTCCATACCCAACCTCATCACTACAGCACATGGCTAATTATGAACAGGTCATCTAATGTTGTCACAGCTTCCACTAGCCACTGTGTATCTCAATAAATTCAATTAAAATCATCATCAGTGAGTTATGATTAAACCTCCACATGTTTGCTGTAGTCGTAGTAGTTCATAAGTACTCCACGACTCTTGTCTGCACTGAGTAGGAGATGCTCTGTATCTCATTTTACAATAAAAGGCACTCTATTCTATTCTATTCTATTCTAGTCTAGTCTATTCTATTCTAGTAACATGGAATTTTACTTGAAGATATGGAATGACATTTCTGTTAAAACCATTAATAAAATAAAATAAACTCTGATTAAATAGAATCAGACATTTATTTTTATATCTTTATATATTTAAAATAAGTACCTTGATCAATGTGCCACTGGCAGATGGTGTCCCAAAATATAAGATGGAAATTGTACAGTTAGACATGGTAATACCTCTGAGAACTAATGCAAGCCCCAGTTAAGCAAAACAACACAAAAGTCACAATGTTCATCATCATTAGAGAGTCTGTTAATTCTGTTACTGTTGCATAATGGATTTATTTTTTAAGACAAATGTGACTTTTACTGGTGATGGGGGATGAGTGATACCACCCTAACCTTTTTGACTCCATGAGTTGTTGTTTTTTTCTGAGATTTCTTTCTGAAATACAAACTTGCATTAATAGTGCCATCGATAAATGTTCTCTATTCTTACCTGCTGTCTCGTTCTGAACACTCCCATCTATTTGTTTCACATTTATCACTATGCGGTTTCCCTGTTGTAATTTTGGCCAAAACCATGGCCCAACATGAGAGACACCAGGTTATCCAAATAAATGAATTCTTTGTTCTACTCTAGACTCACAGAAGGTTTTTAAAACTCTTATTGCCATGGGAACAAGGAACCTCCTGAACTGCTCAGATCTTCAGGAAAATCCTATCAGCAATGACATGTTCTGTCATTGCTCTTTCGCCCAGCTGGGAAGCTATCTGCCGGTGGTACATACCGTGCAGGGGCCTGTCCTTCCATGATGGTTCCTCGTCTCCCTCCTCTTTCTTGGGTTTCTGCTGCCTGAGGTATTCACT